CAATGGGATTGGATACAAGAGAGAGAATGTAAAGAAACAGTGGAAATAAATTATAAAAAATTAAATGGACATATCCTCTCCCAGGAAGATAAATTATAAAAAATTAAGTGGAGGATGTGGAAGGTTTTCTAGACATCTCCGCCTTTTTCCTTGCCATGGAAGCGTTTTAGGTGATGTGACACACTTTTTGGTACAATCCACAGTCACATTGGGGATGCTCTTAGTCTTGTAAGTGAAAAGCTGAGGCTCAATTCAAGTAGCTGATGGATATAATTATTTCCATATTATTGAGTTTTCGGACAGTTCAATTATTATTATTATTTTTTTGTTTTTGTTTTTGTTTTGTGTGTGTGTGTGTGTCAAAAGGTCAAATTAGAATTTATAATGCTGATTCTTCTATTTTAATTTTGTTCTCAGCGAAGAATTTTTTGTGCAATTTATGTTTTCAATAGCTTTTTGCCTTGAAGTAGTAAGGATATGTCCAGAAAAAAGGAAGTTGTTATCTTTTATAAGTATATAACTTCCGAAGAAGTTTTTCTTGATATGACTTAAAAGACATTACGTATGCATTCTTTTATGTGGTATGTGAGAAGAAAAAGTTTACAAATTTCAGCTACAAGGTATCATGATTTGCTGGAGACATATCAAATTTATTTCTGTTAAATTTTTAGTGACGGTTTTAGTTTCTTCCATCTCTCTTCTTGTATGCCGTTATTGTGTAGGTTCTTTGATTTGGTCATGGGATTGTTTTGGATTTGTATAACGTTGTCCTGGTCATTTAAAGATGTGATACATTTTTGTGTGTATAACAGGGAAGACGGTAACTTTGGATGCTGATACTCATATAGAAGTTCCTCAAGACAGATATGGTTTGTATGCTATCGATACATTGGATCCGGACATGGTAAGTATTTTGATATCTCTGTATATATGAAATTGGTTGTTCACATTACTTCTTCTACATTTTTTCATCCTCCATTGTGTTTTCCCAGGAGAAGAAAATGAATTAATTCTTGTTACAGTATGTACATACGAACTTGTGATAAGATTTATGGACCTCGTAATTTCAAATTTCATGACACAATCAAGATCTGTCTGTTATACTGTTGCCAGCATGTCCTTTGTCAATCGTTTGTTTAACTAAATGGACTGTAGCAAAGTGCAGATTAGGACCTTTACTGTCTTATCAGAGGAAATAGAAAAGTGAAAAAAGGGAGGGAGAGGGGATTCTATCAACATTTTATATCAAATGCAAGCTCCAAACCCAGATCATCCTATATGAGGCACATAGATGAAATCATAATTTAAGAAATGTAGAATAATCTCCGAATTGCCATGTGGGAAGAACTTTTTTTTTTTTTTTTTTTTTTTTTTTTTTTTTTTTTTTGTTTTTTTTTTTTTTTTTTGGGGGGGGGGGGGGGGGGGGGGGGGAGTTGGCTTATGTGTAATAGGAGTCAATAGATATAGATTGGATTTCAAATTTCCAATTTTTATAAAGAAATGCCCTCTGATATAGTTATTAATATCTGTTGTTCTATGGTGGTTTCGTGGTTTCGTTTTTGCAGGTTATGGGGACTGATTGTGTATATTATTTCCATGACATGATAGTTGAAATGCTCAAGTGGGGCTACCAAGAGGGAACAACTCTCTTTGGATTTGGATATGATTTTCGCCAAAGCAATCGGTAACTGACAGACTATTTGTCAAATTTGCACATTGCAGAGTTGTGAGGTTATGAGTGACAGTCCTAGGGTACAAGTGTACCATTTTGGTTGTATTATTTAAGTATTCTTAATGAGAAAAGAAGTAGAACCTTCCCCGGTAGATCAAAGTGAGTCTGTAACATGTGATAGAAAGCTCTCAACTCAACGATTTTGTAATATTGGATTATTAATAAGAAATATTGGATTTCATATACATCACAAAAAGCTTGTAAGTTTCGTTTCAATTTCAGATATCATCTAGGTAAAGAAATTCTAAAATTTTGTTCCAATTGTAGCTTCACTTGCACAATATGTGTGTTCCTGCTGAAAGTATCATGATTGTTCCCCATTTTTTATATTTTTAGACCTATAATTCTGTGTTAGTAAATTTTTTTTTTTTTTTTTTAATTTTGTTCCCACTGTACCTTCACTTGCAATATGCGTGTTCCTGCTGAAAGTATCATGATTGTTTGCCCATTTTTGATATTTTAGACCTATATTTCCGCATTCCAGGTTTCAAGGAACAATGGAAGACCTAGCAGCGAAGCTCGAGTCTGTGTATACTGCATCTGGGGGAAGAAAAATTAACATCATAAGTCATTCCATGGGTGGTCTTCTTGTTAAATGTTTCATGAGCCTGCATAGTGACGTGATACTACAACTCTTTGGCCTATTTTGCTTTTCTCACCGTTACCTTTTTGCTCCTTAAATATAAACAATTTTTTTTTCATGGGAAACTCAAATCTCATAATGGAAGCATTATTCTGCAGATGTTTGAGAAGTACGTGAAGAATTGGATTGCAATAGCTGCACCATTCCGAGGTACGTTGCACTGTTGCTGAATCTACTGTTGCTTGGCTTGCTGCTGCAGGCCAATTTTTGCTTCTAGACTTAGGTCTTTGTAAACAGTAGAGTTGAATTTTTTTTTTCTAACCGAGTTTTACAAATAACTAGAAATCATCCAACTGTGGTTGTTCAAACAGCTTAAAAAGCTCTATTTTTCCAACTATCGATATATAGTCAGAAGCAAGCTATGAACATTTCATAAAATGCTGCTATTTAGCTGTTTCTGCTTTTACAGTGTATTACTGGCATGAGTACATTTCCTCCTTTTATCCACATCAAAAATCTTTGAATGAGGCTTCTATATAGTTCTAGGTTACATAGCACATGTGCAGGCAGTTTTCATGTTTACAATTGTTCCAAGAAATGTTAAAGAGAACTCTGATTACTATGTTGTTTCTCTGACATCACCTTCAACCTCTCCCATCCATGGGATGGTCTAGCAGCTAAAGAGCCTAAAGTCCTGTAACCTTATCCACCAATACGAGCTGATGTCAAAAATCTACGTACGCTTTACTTTTCTTGAATAGCCATCAGGCCAAAAGTACTATCCTTGAGGATAATAGTTTAAATTCAGAGAAACAGGAGAAATATCTCTCAGTCCTCCATCAATCCTAATCATTTTGGTGAACTCCAAACCCCCATTCCATGTCATTTTATTGATTTTATCATGTTTGTTCTTCAGAATAAATTTTTTTTTAGCAAGGGCTCTAACTTGAGCTGGAAAGATCTCTGTTTATTTTGATTTATATTGTCATTACAGTCTATTCAAGATATATTTTCTCCGATGATTCCTATAATCGTAGTTACACATGTATTGTAGTCCCACCAACCATTTGTTGCTGCTTTGGAATGGAGAAAAGAAAAACAAGCTTTATTTCAAAAAGACAAAACTCTTATATCATACTTCCTGTTACACTCAAAGTTAACAATGATTAACATATTGTTGGATAGTGTGTAATAAGTAGGACCATCCAAGCTTCATTAATTCATCGTATCAACCTTTTTTCTGTATGCTTGCATAACTGGAATTGAGACCCATATATGTGTGGTGCTTGGCTTCACTGTATTTATTCATTTCAAACTTTTGATGAATGACTTCTAAAAATAGTGGTATTGTTGTTATTTTAACAGGTGCACCTGGATATATTACCTCTACCCTTCTTAATGGAGTATCATTTGTGGAAGGATGGAAACAAAATTTTTTTATATCAAAATGGAGCATGCATCAGATGGTATGAAGATAATTACTGCTCACAGAGAGATCTCCTGTATGCAGGGGTCTCTCTCTCTCTCTGTGATGTAAGATCTTAGAATTTATTAACCACACCATCCCCCCTTACTTGACGGAAGTGGCTATCTTCAATTGAGCGTCTTCATCATAAGCTATACTTATTTGAGTTGTGTAGTTTTTAATGTACTTCTAATCTAATTAAAAAACCATGTCATCTACCTGTTTTTTACATGAAAATTATGAGTCCCAAAACTATCAAGGTGTTGTATAATTTAGTTATTTGAAGCTGTGTTTTTTCCTGGCTCAAGTTGTGTTGTATTTTGTAACTAAAGTTGAATGGCTCTGTATTGATTAGAAATCAAATCATCAACTTCGCTTTATTTATGTGTTACAAACTCACATTTTTCTTTGCTAAATTCTTTCCAGCTGATTGAATGTCCATCAATATACGAATTGATGGCCTGTCTAGATTTCCCTTGGGAACACATTCCACTTCTGGAAATCTGGAGGAAGAAGTCTGATAGTGATGGAAATTCCACTATCATGCTAGAATCTTATCCCCCAATAGAAGCTGTATCAATATTCATAGAGGCTCTCTCAAGCAACAAGGTGAGCTATGGGTGCAAGTTATGCTAAATATAGATAAATAAAAACTAGTTCAACCTGATTTATTTGGTATTATAGCATATCCTTATCGTGCATGTGATATATATATATATATTTTTTGTTGATTTTTGTGAAGTTCTTAAATGTCATAATAAAGTCACGTTTTGGTGTTGAGCTCACAGGAGTTTCAGAATGTTAATTTTCCTTCTCTTGATGGATAATGGTAATCAAAATGTTGGATAATAATTACAGGATTCTCTTAGTTTTAAAAAAAGTTTAAAACCGAAGTATGATCAAATACTTAATGACTTATTGTCTGTCAATTCGTTTTTGACTGACATGTTGATATATGATTTTCTAATGCATGACTAGTTATTACGATGACATTTTTTTTCCTGGTGTCTTACATAGACAGTGGTGTACTTGCAGGTTAATTATGATGGTACTGATATTTCTTTACCATTCAACTTGGAGGTTTTGAAGTGGGCTAATGAAACGCGGAAGTTGTTGAGCTGCGCTAAGGTTCCCAGTCATGTTAAGTTCTACAATATTTATGGGACAAGTAATGAGACGCCTCATAGTGTTTGGTACTGCTTAAACCTTAAAAAATTATGCTTACAAATTGATTGGAATTCTGCAATATATTAAGACATTCAAAGCATATCGATAAGTGAACTTATGTGAAATGCTAATATGCTTTTGTAGTTATGGAAGTGAGGATGCACCTGTATCTGACCTGCAACAGTTACCTGCTCTCCTGGTATAACTATTAAATGAATCTTGAAATAAATACAGCGACACTTATTCAGAATTTTATGCCCTCATTTTTCTGTGTTTCTGTTTTACCAGTTAGTGTTTGTTTTACATATTGTATGATATGTTTGTTACATTTGAAACTTAGGTTATAAGAACTGTTTTAAATACCGTTTTTGCGCATGTCAGGCCAAGTATGTAAATGTTGATGGTGATGGAACTGTTCCAGTGGAATCTGCTAAGGTACTTTGTTTCAATTTGTTGCACTCTCTCTTTTGAGTTCAAAATATAATTTTCTGCATTTCTTTACTACTTCTATCCATAACTTTAGCTTATTTTGGGAAACTCACTTTTATATAGTGTCATGACCAATAACATCTATAGCTTTGGTTTAGATAACTTACTTTATATGTTTACTCTTAGTGTTATGACAGTGACATTTGTCGTATTTTTGGTGTCCCTTTACCAAATTCCTAATCTTATATGTATGATACAATAATGAATGCATACTTTTAATTCGCCTTTTGTGTGAGTGTGATGGGAAATCGTGTACACGAAAAATATTTCAACTGTAATGGATAATATAATCCAGTTTTGACTGTTCGGAATGGATCAAATTTCTTGGACACCCCAAAATGGAAAGTAGCAGTTACAAAATAGATGGAGTATTTGAAGTAAGCATCTGAACTAATTAAAGATCAGGACTGTATTTTGATGAGGCGATATGCTTTTCGCATAAAACATAATGACATAGTCATCTCTGGCTGGGCTGCTATGCTTTTAAAATTTTGGAAAGAAGGTCCTGGAAAACTTTTGTCACTATTTATATTTGAGTTTCTAAATGTTCTCCACTCTCTTCTTCACTTCTCAATGGCTGCAGGGCAATACTTACTTTCAAACTTCATTCATTTTTCCCTTTCTTTACTACCTACAAACATAATAAACATGGTTTCAAATTCATTCAAAACAATAATTATGTGTGTGGTTGCAATTTTGACATTTCGAAATTGAACCATCAATGACTTGGTTCTCTCTATTTTCCAGGCAGATGGGCTTCGAGCAGAAGCAAGGGTTGGAGTACCTGGGGATCACCGTGGAATTCTATGTGACCGTCATGTGTTCAGAATTCTCAAGCACTGGCTGATGGCGGACCATGATCCTTATTACAATCCAGTTAATGATTTTGTAATTCTACCTACCTTGTTTGAATTTGAAAGTCACAAAGCACGAAGTAGCTTGCAAGTAACTTCGGTCAAAGAGGATTGGGAAATTATTGGGGAAAACCTAGAAGACCAAGAACAAGACAATATAGCTGAGAAAAATCCTTTGGTGGGTTCAATATCCATCTCTCGTGTTGGAGGTGATAAATCCTTGCAGGAAGAGGCCAATGCCACTATTACTGTTCACCCCCAACACAATGGTAAGAAGCACGTCGAGTTGAAGGGCATGTCTATCTCAGCAAGTGCATAAAGAACCTTTTCTATCCTCGTTCTAACTGAACATGGGAAAATTGGTAACCTTCGTGTATTGGCCAGTGTTGTGGTTCTCTATATATATATATAACAATCACGTATTGTTCATGTATGAACACTACTGGAACGTGATATGTGAATATCCTTCGTAAATAGCTTCAGGTATTCTTCTTCAATGCTCTGTATCAATGGTTAACTATACTTTTTTGGCAACAAATGTTGTACGACTTCGCTGTTGGTGTGGGGACACATAGAGTATGTTTTGACAGAATCTGGATATCAAATCTGCATCAAGGGCCAGAGAGTTGGGGAATTTATTGCAGAACATTTATTTAATATTTTGCCTTACGCCCAAGTT